CTCTCTCTCTCTCTCTCTCTCTCTCTCTCTCTCTCTCTCTCTGCCTGTTTCTTTTTCTCTTGATCTTATATTATCTCGTATTCTTTCTTATGTTTCTTGAATTCCATGTCTTAGATCCGTTTCGACTTTCCATGTCTCCTTTTGATTTCAATGTTACACATCATATTTATATTGGGAGTTAGAAACAATAGGATATTTCTGTTTAATTTGCAGTTTGCACCATGTTTGGGTTCTTTTCTTAGTTTAGATGCGTATTGGAGTTTCCTCCGGTGGTCTTCCTGTTAGACAGCTTCATTTTTATTAGGGTTTGGGGCCGGAACTCGGAAAACCCCAGATGCGTCCTTTTTCTTTTTAAATCTTGGACGTTTTTATTGTCTTCTTTTTAAAGATGCATTAACCTAGATGTGGCAACTGAAAAGGTTTGGCATGATTCATTTGGCGATTTCTCGTTTTGTGGTTCAGATTTTGGTTCTCTAATGGTAAAATTTTCGTTTGCTTAGGTTAGTTGGTTTGTTGGGTTACTCGGTTTTTTATTGTTATGCTCTGAGTAGATTTATGTAGTTTAGAGTATGTGGCGCTTTCGAATTTGGAACTGAATCTGAACATTTTGAATTGAACAACATTGTTTTCTTTTACTGGTTGGTGTTGATTTCGGTTCTATATGATGTCTTTGAAGATTTAGGTTTTGGAGATGGCAAGTGGATTTGGGGAATCGACAAGCAAGCCACCCCAAAGCCCTTCTTGCTCAGGAAGTGGTAGCAATGATGCTGGCAATTTTGAATGCAATATCTGCTTTGAATTAGCTCAGGACCCAATTGTGACTCTTTGCGGCCACCTTTTCTGTTGGCCTTGTCTTTACAAATGGCTCCATATTCATTCACATTCACAGGAGTGCCCGGTTTGTAAAGCCCTTGTACAGGAGGATAAATTGGTTCCTCTTTATGGCAGGGGAAAGACACCAACAGATCCAAGATCAAAATCCGTTCCTGGTATTAATATTCCAAATCGTCCAGCTGGGCAAAGACCGGAAACAGCTCCTCCTCCAGATACGAACCATTTCCCTCAACATGGGTTTGGATTTATGGGTGGATTCCCTCCAATGGCGACTGCAAGGTTTGGGAACTTCACTCTTTCTGCAGCTTTTGGTGGTTTGATTCCTTCCCTGTTTAATCTTCAGGTGCATGGTTTCCCCGAGGCTACTGTCTATGGGGCTGCGGCTGGTTTTCCCTATGGATTTTCTAACTCATTTCATGGGGGCCACGCTCATGGGTTCTCTCAGCCTACAAGTCAAGCACAACAAGCAGATTTTTATTTGAAGGTGATAATTTGGGGGGTTGTTGTCTTTGCGATCCTTGCTCTTTTATTGTAATAGGTGAACATGCTGCAAGAATTAAAATTGCGGATGGAAGTCCGAGATTTTCACTTGTTTGTAAATCTGTAGGTCAATTAGTTTGACTTTTATTATGAGGAAATTGTCCATATGATACTTTTTTCAATCCTCTTCTAGCTTGTGTTCTGTCTTCCAAGTATGTAGAACGTAACCTGTATGTTTTCATAGATGACTTAAGATCTCTCTCTCATATATATTTTGTAGTTTCTGACAATATATTAACTTTTTAATCTGAGTAACTGTTGGCATGGAAGATGGTGGCTTCATTAGCATTCTTCATGTGCTTGTTCAGGAACACCTACTTTCAAAAATTTTTCCTTTTTCACCTTATAAATCTACAATTTGCCATTACGTGGTGTAATGGTAAAATCTAAGGTGGTCAAGTGTGAGAATGCAGTTCTAGTCTGAGAGTGGCCATTTAGTGTGAAAACAAAAAAGAAGCTAAAGGTTAGGACTCTATCTAGTCAACCCCTCCCAAGACCCAAGATATCTGGGAGGATAATGGCCATGACACCTTATAAATCCATAGTTTTACCATTAAAATTGTTATCCATGCTCAAAATCCTTGCACAAGCATCAACTTGGCATTAATCCATTGTATATTATTAAATAAGAATGAGAAAACAACTATCTTATAAAATGAACCAGATACTTTAGGCTGCAATTCTTGCTTATAGTTGGGAGTTGGTCTGAAATGATTCAGGTGGAAATGATGACTCTCGGCAATGAAAATGCAATTAGATAAGAGTAAAGGAGATTTTTTGGAGACTACTTGGTCCTTTTTTTTTCTGGTGGTCTTATGGGTTCCATGTCACATACTTCCAATTTTAATTATTAATTTTGTATCAACATGATGTCCATGTACTGCGTTTGTTATTTCTCAGTAATGCCAGTGATATTGATTACTGTAATTTATATTTCTACTATTTCCTTGAAATTAGTTGGTTTCTTATTTCCAGGAAAATGATATTGCAACATTTAAGCAAAAATATTGGTTTCTTTCTACTATATTTCCAGTGTTGCTACATATAAATGATATATCAAACCATCATGTATGGAATAGATGCTTCAGATCCCTTGAAATGGGAAATCTTGTGAAATCTGGTAGAATTGCATTCTATGAAATGACCAGATCTGAATTTCGAAGTTCATAAAATATTTTGGTTGGATGTTTCCAAGTAGTCGACTGCCAGGGAATGCTCTTGTATGGGGTTGTCGAGGGCATTAGGCCTTTGAGCGGTTAGTGTAATGTTGGTTTGATTGAGTGCATTGTAATATGACAAGGTTTGAACTTTGGAGTGGGTTTTGCAATAGGATAACGTCTAGGAAGTTTGGTGGTTACTGGGTTTATCTTGAACAGTTTGTAGATCATCTTCTCAACATGAAATCATAAAGTGCAACCTGATGTAGGATGTATGATAGACATTAGTCTAGGAAGTTCGGACAGTTTGTTGGTTACTGGGTTTATCTTGAACAGTTTGTAGATCATCTTCTCAACATGAAATCATAAAGTGCAACCTGATGTAGGATGTACGATAGACATAGACAAAGGACCAGTTGGCTTTCAAATGAAATGTTTCTGTTTAGGCTATGTTTGGTTTGAAGGAAAATGCAGGGAAATGTAGGAAAACCTTTACAAACCTTGTATAGGTTTTCCTATCTTTCCCTACCTTTTCCTTCAAACCAAACATAGCCTTAGGGAAAACCTAAGATGCGGGAAAGACATGGTATGGAAAGAGTTTTGACCAATCAAAACCCACCCATGAATTTTGATAAATAACCCCTGATTGGCTACCATGTTTATTGATTCCAGTTGACTGGTGAGAAGTTTTTCAGATATCAATCTTTCCCATATCATACATAGTTGAACCTTTCTGTTTAATACAGATGTGAAAGATTATGTGATATTGGCTTTGCTTCATAAAATATCCGTGATGATTACTTTCCATTTATTTATTCCTTAAACAGCATTTTGCCCTTGAAAAGTTTGGAGAAGAATGGGGGCTTTTTTTTTTTTTGCACCATTTACTATGATTCTCCCATCTTGTTTTTAGGCCTTCAAAATCTACTAAATGTGATGTTCATCAAGGTTTGGCAAGATTGATTGTTTCTCTATTTGGGATAAAGATGGAGGAGGTAACCTGCATACTGATATTGCTGGATAGTTTATCTTGATTTATTGGAACAAAGAATAAGTATACGAGGATTTATGGTGTGTAGTTGTGTACTTGCTGGAACATGACAAAAAAATACAACCTCAACTTCATCAGGATAGTGTTATTTTGGGGCTGTGTAAGTGGTTAAAAAGAACTTTGGGAAAAATTTTCAGATGTAAAATGCTGAAAGGGCATTATAATCAGCTTCAATTTTAATTTTTAACGACATCGTGGCATCGTGTTATTCTTTTTTGGGCACCGTTTTGGGGTGCGTGGGCCGTGTGGCAAGAAAATGTTTTGTCGAGCTAATTTTGGGGAAGGGGAGCTGTTTGGATAGTTCTTTTTTTGGGGGTTGCAGAAAAAAAACTCTACAACCACCAATACAAATCCACCATGTCACTTGATCACTTTTTCGTACAGAGCTATGGAAACCTGGAAGTTAACAGCTGTTTTGTGACAAATGAATAGTAACACCCGCCCAGTCTTTTTGAATTAATCGATGCATTCCTCTTCGCACCCCTTCCCCACCCGCTTTCCGCTCTGGGCTCTCCCCTGTTTTACATTGATCACCGGTGATGGTTGTGCCATCGGAACACACATTCCATACCGGAAATCTTTGTTCTCCCAATTTTCTTGTTTCCTTTTCTTCCCTCTTCCTCTGAATTGGCAATTTTCTAATCGGACAACCACTTGCTCAAAAGAAGCTGTTGCAACCACCGGGCATCTGACACAGCACCGTAGAAGGCCAGAAATATTGCCGCAGAAGGTTGGAGATATTGGTGTGTTCTTTGGTCTTGAAGGTGTGGAAAAGCCAGATCCTAGAATCTATGAGAGTGTGCCACAGAAGTCTGGAAATATTGCACCGGGAAAAGCTTTGCATGTTGTAGATAGCTTGCGAGAGGATTACATGCAAACAAAGTGTATAAGAATGCATGCATTGATGCTTCCTATACCTGATATGTGTTTTTCTGTTATTTTTTCTTGATTTCTTTGGACTAATTTACATGAAGGTTAAACCAGTTTATTGTTGATAATCATTGTTCCTGTCAAGTTTACATTTTGCGCTGAAATTGCTTATTGGGTGATGTTACCCACTTGGACAACTGTGTTTGTTTTGATAATTCAAAGTTTCAAACTATAAACGTTTGTGAGGAATGTTTTTAGCATGTCCAGTGGATTTGAGGCACATATTTTTGTGTGACAATTCTAAGAGAAATAAGACCAAACACATTCCTCTTCGGAGTGGAAGTCAATTCCAATTCTGGGCAGAACCAAATAGACAGGAGGAATAGACTTATTTCAATAGCGATTCTGGTTTCAATGTAAAATTTAACTTCTCTCCAGCTAAAACTGATCAGAGAAATCTCGCTAGTGAAGGAATTCCAATGCATTAGCACTGAAGACAAGGAATTCTCTACTCTCAAACATTGAATCACAAGGACTAAGGAACTTTAAATATAAAATAGCTTGTCCTCCCTTAGTTTATTCTACTAAAAAGCATTTTATTTTACCCTGAATAACGGCAACACTGTCACTTTGGAGAAGATACAAGATATAAGAAATACATACATTACATACTAAAACAGCTTCTCTACCAATGGTTGCCAACTCGGAGCAAGCGGTGGCCTGGTCAGAGTGTTGGGTTGCCGATTCAGAGGAAGGGGAAAGAATAGGAAATAAGAAAAATGAGAAAGAGAGAGTTCCAGTATGTAGCGTGTGTTCCCAGTCGGTGTGGAACAAGGGAGAGCTTAAAGGGGAAGCGTGAGGGAGGGAGGGCGAGAGAAAAAAAGGGCGGCGGAGAGGAGTGCATATCGATTAATTGCAAAAAAGACGGGGTGGGTGTTTAAATCTTAATAAAAAATAATAAACTATTCGGTGGTTGTAGGGTATTCTTCTGCAATCACACGATGTAAAACTCTCTTTGGCTTTGTATTGGTGGCTCAACTGCGATCAAGGCTAGGCTGTCAATGGAGCGGTTTAAGATTGGATCCAACCCGAATAACTTGGATTTGAAATTTTGAACAATGAACACCCACTGTGTTATCAAATTGGATTGGACTATAATAAACGGTTCATTTTATTATTGGATCTAACCAAATTGGATCCATTAATTATCCAATTTGAATGTTGTGAAAGAAAAAAGGGACATTTTAATTTGAATGTGGTATGGCCACTCTTTTTTTTCCCCCTTCTCGGAGCACTGGCAACAACATAGGAGATTCAATGAGCTTCCGCGTAGTTAAATGACAGAATTAATGGATGGTAACCAGATGTTGGATGACGGAGGGATGGTGCTGAAGCACTGAAATCACAGTAAACAAGTTGCTTTATGCCCATGGCTATGTCTGGTTTGAATTTGACAAGAAAATAAGAGAAAAAGAAATCTGAATGTTGAGGGAAAATTAACAAATTTTGTGAATTCGTTAACAACTTCTCTGTTTCCCTCTTTAATCGTAACTCTAAATGCTGGTCCTTGATGATCAATTCTTCTCACAGAGAAACCGAAAATACATTTAAACATCTACTTCCAACATGTGGTGCAGTCTGCAAATACCTAAGACATTGAGAGATCCATGCATCTTTTCGAAATTTCATTGCCGTATTCCCAGGACGTTGCTGGCTCCGGCTACTGGAGCGGAGGACGAGGACGAGTGACGAGTAGCCTTTGTTGGAGTACTCGATCGATCGATGAGGTTTAATTATTTTGAGTGGGGCTGATGTATTGAAAATTTGAAACCCAAAACTTTCAATCGTTGGGTCTGTGGTTGTTGCAACAAACCAGAAACCACAACGTTGGTATTATTTTGAAAATAAATAATTTGGCACTTGTTTGATATGATCTTGAAAAATCCCAGTTTCTGTTTCATTACAAATTGCGGATTGGATTTGCATAATTTGGACTCGTATCTGATTATGGATTAATGTTTGTCGGATCATCATTGGATAAGATCAGAGTCTGGTCCTTTGACAGCTCTACCGGTGCTTCTGTCCTTGTGCTTGAAGGCAGGTCTTTTCTTTTGG